TCCAACGCTGCTGCCTCCCATCCGTACAGGTATCAAGTAACTCTGTCCACCAAGGATTAGGCAGATGAGAAGAGTATCAAAAGCCTTCTTGTCGATTATTTCACTATAATCCAGCTTTGATCGATCAAAATACTGGCAACTTCGCAGCTCAGTTACAAAAAAATCTACCACATTTAGCAAATAGAATGGAAAACAAAAGGAGTTGTTTCAATTTCCGATATAAAACTCGAGCAAAGATTTTTATCCACTTATATTTCACTATGATCAGCTTCTATCAATCAAATAATTGCAATTTCGCAGCTCAGTTACAACGAAGTGCTTCAATCTCGCATCAAAAATTCCTACATCATGATTACTGCTAAAATGAACATCACTATCACTAATTAAAACGTCAAATCATTTCTAGAGAATCACAAAGTAGACAAAGTCAACTGAAGAATGACCAAAAGAAACAGTACCTGATGATGTTGATTATGATGATATTGTGTGGCTTTCTGGAAAAGCTTCTTCGCGAACATGGCGAAATGAGAAGTGAAGATTTTTGGATCGGTTTCGAATTTTGAATTGGCTTAGGCGTCCGGCATTTATTTGGCTGAAATGGTATAAAATGCTTTGGAAGCTATATGCTGATTGATGTATTAATTTAAATTTAAAATTTATGTATTTCTCGAACTGGACGCTAAAATAAAAAAGGTTGGACTCAACATATCTTTGTTGCATATTTACAACCAAAAATAGGCTGTTCAAGAGAATCTCAAAATCAATTCCAGCCACTTTAGAAGCTAAATTTTATTTGGTAAGCTTTGATATTACATTTTTTTTTTAATAAAAAGGAGTATTACCATGAAACTTCTCTATAACAGCCTCGTTTGTTTCGAATATTTTTGGATGTTATAGCGAAGTGTTGTTATAGAGAACATATATAACATAAAAATTGGTTCCGAAAAATTTGGCTTTTATAGTGAGAAGTGTTTTATATAGGGATGATGTTATAGAGATGTCTGGCTGTATCTACTTCTTACATCCTATGTGATAGTGGTTTGACTGGGCACAATATCTTTTTTAAAAAAATATTTTAGAGTTTATGATTTAAAATACATATATATTTGTGTAATTATAAATTATTTTATTAAGAATAAAATAAAAAATTTAAAATTAAGTTATTTTTAAATATAAAAAGATACTATATTCTTAGAATAATCTAAAACAAGAAACTGCACCATATAAATTGAGATAAATTGAGTTCAATCTTGCAGCACACTTTCTTACTCCTATTCATCTCGCAGCACACGTTCCTACTACTCAATTAAATCTTCCTTCAAAAGCATATTTTGAATTTTTGATAAAGGAGTTGGCTGGACTTTGAAAAATCAAGTAGCTATAATAATTGGTTATATTCTTGAGTCGAAGTTATACACTTGAAACTGATAAAAAAATTTATATTTCTATTTGATTTTTATTTATATATTTACTAAACTGATGGAGTGAATTTGATTGTTTTTCTTGTTAGGTAAAATCATTACCAGAATTTACACTCCTGCCCGAAAGAAGAGGCAAATAAGAAAAATATATGCTTTTGTCCTACTTTCCATAAAAATATTAATAAGATATGTGCTTGATATTATCACTAATAAATTATTATGGAACATTGATGGAGCCAGAAACATCGAGTCAGTATTTTTAATAAGGGAATTCAAAAAAATAGGTTAGATCAAGCTTCTATTTCAAGTCAAACGAATCCAACCCTTAAAGTTATCACGTATTCATTATTTTTGGCTTATAATATACATATATAATAAGTGAATATTTTGAGCAAGGAGTTTTATTTGAGCAAGGAGTTTTATGTGGAAATTGAGCATGTTTATAGGGAAGTAAACAATGTGACGGACACTTCAGCAATGTTCAGCATGAACTTAGCTCCTTCTGATGTTTTATGGATATTTTCTATAAGGACTTTTTGGGAACTCTAATAGCAAGAATAGTCCCGGCTTATAATAACTCTTTCTAACTTTTATTAAATATAAATACTTGTCCTTATTAGAAAGAAAAAAATCATCTTGTACACTGCATTTCGTAATTTATAAAATATTCTATTTTACAAACTATTGATCAACATCTAGCACATTTATATTATTGGTATTTGTATTTGCTGCCATCTACATTATAGTTTCCTACAAATAGAGTAATTAAGTCTTCCTCTCAGCATCAATTATCGGTATTTGACAATTATTAGACAAGATAAGACTTCTATCTATGTTTGTTGACTTTACCTTAATTAATTTGTAGTTCACATTCAAGTGCGACGTAAAAGATAGCATTTTAGACACAAATGAGGGGAAAAAAAACAATATGAAACTCCACCTAACTCAAGAGCAATGGACAACCATAGAAAAAGAGAAGAGTTTTGGTATGAACTCGCAGCGATTAGAGGCATCTGGAATGAGCAATGGGTCATAGGGGGGGATTTCAATGTATGTAGATACGAAAGTGAGAGATTCAACTGCATCAGGAGATCTAAAGCTATGAAATCTTTCTCTGCCATCATTCAGGACCTTGATATTATTGATCTTCCTCTTCAGGGGGCCTTCTACACTTGGTCCAGGGGTGAGAATTCACTACAAGCTTCCAGGATTGACAGATTTTTAGTCTCTAACGAGTGGAGTGACAGCTTTGGGGCTATGAAGCAACTTGCCCTTCCAAGGGTAATCTCTGATCACAACCCATTACTCTTAGAATGTGGTGACTGGGAAGCCAACCCCTCTTACTTCAAGTTTGAAAATATGTGGCTCCAGGTGGAGGGGTTTTTAGATAAGGTTAAAGCTTGGTGGCAAAGTTATGATGTTGGGGGTAGGCCAGACTTCATACTAATGCAAAAACTAAGATGTCTAAAGAAAGATATTTCTGACTGGAACAAAATGGAGTTTGGTAAGCTGGAAACAAGAAAAAATAAGGCTCTGGAGGAGCTGACCATGATGGAACAACAAACTGAAGGTAGACTGCAAACTCCAGCTGAAAAAGAAAAGATGATAAGGCTCAAAATGGGATTGCAACAAGTAGCAGTTGAAGAAGAGGTATCTTGGAGGCAGAAATCTAGGTGCCTATGGCTCAAAGAAGGAGACAGGAATACCAGATATTTTCAAAGAATGGCTAACTCTCACAGAAGATCAAATAATATAGACAAACTAAAGGTTGGGAAGAAATAACAGGGGACAAAGGGGTCATTAAAGAGGAAATCCTAAAATTCTATCAGGGGCTATACACAGAGAATGAGCAATGGAGACCTACTGCCAATTTTGATAATCTAGCATGCATCTCTACAGAGGAGAAAGACTGGTTGGAAAGGGTATTTGAAGAAGAGGAAGTAGTAGCAGCAATCAGGGCATGTGCACCAGACAAAGCCCCAGGCCCAGATGGTTACACTATGGCTTTTTTCCAGAAAGCTTGGGATGTTCTAAAGCAAGACATCATGGGGGCTTTAAACCACTTTCATCAAAATTGTTATATGGTTAGATCCTGTAATGCCTCTTTCATAGCACTGGTTCCTAAGAGGAAGAGTGCTATTGAGCTCAAAGATTTCAGGCCTATAAGCCTCATAGGCAGCATCTACAAGATAACAGCTAAGTTATTAGCTGAGAGACTCAAATCAGTGATTGGGAAGCACATTTCAGAGAATCAAAATGCCTTCATCAAACAAAGGCAGATTACTGATGCATCTTTGATTGCCAATGAGATGTTGGATGAAAGGCTAAAAAGTGAAATTCCAGGCATCCTATGCAAACTCGACATTGAGAAAGCATTTGACTAAGTCAATTGGTCATACATGTTTTCAATGTTAAGGAAAATGGGATTTGGTGGCAAATGGATCAGGTGGATCAAATATAGCTTGACCATAGTCAAGTATTCGATTCTCATCAATGGGAGTCCAGTTGGCTTCTTTTCACCTCAAAAAGGATTAAGGCAGGGTGATCCCTTATCTCCTTTCTTGTTTATCCTAGCTATGGAGGGTCTTAGCAAGATGTTGGTCAAAGCAAAGCAGCTGCAGTGGTTAGATGGTTTTAGTGTTGGGAGACATCAAAGGAATGCAGTCTCAGTCTCACACCTGCTCTATGCGGATGACACATTAGTTTTCTGTGGAGCTGGAATATCTCAGGTTCAATATCTTAATCTAACTCTGCTCATTTTTTGAAGCTATCTCTGGACTACATATCAACATGGCAAAAAGCATAATCTACCCTGTTAATGAAGTTCCTGACTTGGGAGATCTAGCTGATATTCTTTGTTGTGGTACTGGTTCCCTCCCTGCAACATACCTGGGCCTTCCATTGGGAGCTAAGTACAAGTCTACTGCAGTATGGAATGGTGTGATAGAGAAAGTGGAGGAGAGATTGGCAACATGGCAGCTGCAATATCTATCAATGGGAGGCAGGGTAACCTTGATTAGTAGTGTAATGGACAGCATACCAACCTATTACATGTCACTATATCCTATGCCCAACAAAGTACTCAAACAATTGGACAAACTCAGAAGGAACTTTCTCTGGAAGGGGAATAGTGAGGGTCACAAGTTTCACCTGGTCAAATGGGCCAAAGTAACTCAGCCAAAGGACCTTGGTGGACTTGGAATAAAAGACTTGACAAAATACAACAAGAGCATGCTAATGAAATGGCTTGGGAGATTTGGGGAGGAAGACACCAGCCTATGGAAGAAGGTGGTGACTGCTAGACATGGACAACAAAGCCACTGGTGTACTAAACTAAGTAGGTCTCCTCATGGTGTTGGCCCATGGAAGTACATCAGTAGCCTTTGGGAGGATTTTCCACAGAATATTTCATTCAAGGTGGGTAATGGGTTACATGTTAGATTCTGGAAAGATATCTGGTTGGACAGTTGCCCACTGGAAGAGAGCTTTCCACTACTGGTTCAGATTGCTAGTGATCCCAACTCTACAATAAGTCAATATAGATCAGGAAACTAATGGGTACCACTTTTCAGAAGGAATATGCATGACTGGGAGTTGGGTAGTTTGTCTACATTGCTTGGTAGACTGGGAAACTTCACTATGAATGAGCAGATCCCTGATAGAATCAGATGGGTTGGTTGTGACTCAAGTCCATATTCAGTGAAGATGGGCTACAGAAGCATGTGTGAGCATAATGGAATCATTGACTCGTGGCCATGGAAGCTCATTTGGAAGACAAAGCTTCCAACAAAGGTTACCTGCTTTACTTGGACTGTACTCAAAAAAGCCTGCCTAACTCAAGACAATCTCTGCAAAAGGAGCTTCCAGCTAGTAAATAGATGCTACCTATGTCAGCAAAGTTCTGAGTCAATCAACCACCTATTCTTACATTGTCCAGTGGCAACAGACATGTGGTATATGTTTCTTTCTATCCTGGGAATAAGCTGGACACAACCACAAGGCATCAGGGAAGCAGTGGAAGGTTGGAGCAGTTGGAAAGTTGAAAGGGCCATCAAGAAAGTCTGGAAGATGATCCCAGCATGCATTTTCTGGTGCCTCTGGCAAAAAAGAAATCGCAGATGCTTTGATGGCATTTCAACTTCTATGCATGCTCTCAAAGCCAAATGCCTTGTGTAACTATTTAGTTGGAGTTCTCTAACACCTGAAAATAATGTAATTCCTCTTCTAGATTTCATTGGATCTATGAGTCTAGCCTAACTCAGTTTATTTCCTTACTTTTGTTTTTTGAGTTAGCTCCCTAAGCAGATTAAGTCTTTTGTTGTAATGGAGCTAACTCAATCCCTTCTTGTAACTTTGCATCTTCTGGATGCCTGCAATGAAGAATCTTATTTCATCAAAAAAAAAAACTACTATCCAATATTATGGGGGGAAAAATATTTGCCTAACACTCATATTGTGAAATACATATTAATTAATTGTATTCAAGTGGTAAAAGTATTAGAAGATGTACTGAAATTTATTCATTGATTTGGCATAAATACCATGTATGGATTATATTTTTCCTAATATTATTCAAAGATGTTAAGAAACATAATAGTTTTGTTGCTCTATTATATTAAGTTATTTTTCACTTTTGTTTCCTCTATCTTAAAAAAAAATCAGGAAATAGAGATATTATATTTTTTATAAATATATTAAGAACAACAGAAAGATCGCCAACGGGGATGTAGCTCAGATGGTAGAGCGCTCGCTTAGCATGCGAGAGGTACGGGGATCGATACCCCGCATCTCCATATATAATATATATATATATCTTTTTTTTCCTCAATATAATTGAACTATATTCGTATCATCTGCTTTTGAGTTTTGAGTGATGCTAGCTAATTGCTCATTGCTGAATGCGGGCAATTCCCAATTTGTGAACTTTTCAGTTTCCACGTGGAACTCCAAATTTGTTTCTTCTTCTTTGTTTTTTATACTTATTTTTGCCTTTGGTCAGTTAATTTTAATTTTCTCCTTCTCGAAAACACTAGGCCTGAATGCAAGTGGCTGCTGAGTTTGTTTAACCAAAAAAATATTGATTTTGGCTCAACTAATTAGATTTATATAAAGAGAGTTAATCTTAGTTAAAAGTAATATCCACAAGATAAAGCTACGTGCAGCAAGACCAAGCAATTAATATACTTTGCCCTGGTGATATTAAACATGAGCAATGATAAAAATCTTCAATGATCCGAAAAGATGGAATATAGCATTAAATAATACTACTAAATAACAATAAATGACATTTAGGTAAATAAAATGTGTGAATCACCCGAAAATGAATGAGATCGGTGGTTATTCTTTCTGACAATGATGAATGATTGATATGCCTTTGAACATTTGGGATGTTCTTGGACCCGGTGGAAATGCTAGACAAGAATCTTGGTAAAAAGGCTGCTTTTGTATATATGCATTAAGACTAGATTCTCTCTTACAAAGTCAATGTGTTCTTAACAGATGAATGTCTCATGTCCCCTATCATTGTTTTGTGTCTCTTTTTATTTATAGGGAACATGTTCCTAGAAAACACTAATAGTACATGTGCAGAGAATATCCACTAGAATATTCTCCTCTATGTCTTATCTTAGAACTAGCTGCTATAATTCTGTCTAAGATGCTCGACCTCGACCTCGACCTTGACCCATGGTGACTTCGCGACATTGATCTTCTTTGACTCTTCGACCGCATCCTTCGTTGCTTTGAGGCTACTTCGCCTCGAGGCCGGTCTTTGTAAGGACCTTACTGATAGCACGCGGTGGTTGACAAGGACTATAATAATACTGACGTGGCTTATCCTTATCAAAGATATTTTTTAACCAATACAGAGTTGAGAACTTGTAAAATATGGGGCACTATGTAGTTACGTGTCACGACCCGGATTTCCCCCCCTCGAGGGTCGTGATGGCGCCTACTAATAGGAGCTAGGCAAGCCAACTTAATTAACAAATTCATTAAACACATGTTCCTTTTTAACAATTAACGGCATTAAATAAAGGCGACGGAATTAAAATCATTAGCGGAAGACTTAAATTATATAACTGAATAAAATACAGAAATTCCAACATACGTCTCTACCCCGGGACTGGTGTCACATACTCACGAACATCTAAGGAGTACTACATACAAAGTCTGAAAGAAACATAATCTGTTTATCTCGGGTACAATGAGATGACAGCCAAATGTAAAGATAGAAGGGAGACGTCGGGCCTGCGGACGCCTGCAAGCTACCTCGTGTCTCTCTAGACTGAAGGTTCGCCCCCGTGCTAATGCTGCTGCTGCTGCTCAATACCTAGACCTGTGCAAAAATGCACAGAGTGTAGCATCAGCACAACCGACCCCATGTGCTGGTAAGTGCCTAGCCTAACCCCGGCGAAGTAGTGACGAGGCAAGACTGGACCTCACATAAATCTGTGCAATTATAAATATACAGCAGAAATCGAAGTACAAGGCAACTAACAATATGGGAGGGGAAACATGCTGTGGGGAGATAACAATATTAACAGTAAATCCAAAGTAATCAATCTAGGTGCAATTTAAAATTTAAGGCGAACAAGAAAACTAATATCAACACTACACACATTTGCATCAATAACTGTTGCGGCGCGCAACCCGGCCCTAATACATTTTAACACTATTGCGGCGTGCAACCCGATCCACAATTATCACTGTTGCGGCGTGCAACCCGATCCACAATTATCACTGTTGCGGCGTGCAACCCGATCCACAATGCCTACCTCTCAACCTTGCCCAAACAACAGTCACAAATAAAAGGCAGGGAGTGAACAGGTATTTGGAAGGAAATCCCAACAAGGGTACACAAACAACCAATAACAGCCATGCAAGAGCAAATCATTATTTCTCTTTTTCTTCCATTTTCATATCCTAGCTCTCATTAGCACTCGTGTCAAGCTCCGAGGCATTTCTCATTTCATATGCTCTCACCATTGGTATTTCAGACCGAGCCAATGCTCCACGAAGTTCCACAATCACAATATCTTTCACAAGGTGTTTACAACGCATAGAAGCCATCAAATAAGCATGGAAGGCATAACAATATCCAAACAACCCACATATAAGGACTCACGGTCATGCTAGACCCCAATGTATAGGAACTCGTCACCATGCCTATACATCATACTCGATCATTTAGCAATTAGCAAACAAGACTCGACTCCTATTCCCTCAAGCTAGGGTTAAACCAAACACTTGCCTCAACTTCCGCGGCCAATACAATCCTCCACAACCGCTTTCCCTCTCGAATTCGGCTCCAACTCAACCAAATCTATGCAATAAGGACTTCATGATATCAATATGTGCTAAACAAATCAAACCCAATGACTAATTATAGCTTTTTCATCAATTTACCCCAAAAGNATCAGAACCATCTTGTCCCAACCGGAAATCACCCAATGCATCCGCAGCAGCGATGGCACTAGGAAGGTCTTTCACATTCTGCCTTCGTAGTTCCATTTGCGCCCACGACTGCAACCCGTAAAGGAAATTATGCAGCTTGTCTTCCTCAGACATGTTGCTTATATTCAACATCAAAGAACTGAATTTTTTGACATATTCCCTGACCGTTCCAGTTTGTTTCAACTTCTTCAAACGATCTCTAGCAATCCAGCCCGCATTGCTAGGAAAGAATTGATCCTTCAACTCTTTCTTCAGCCCTTCCCAAGAGTCAATCTTTGGCCTACCAGCACTTACATCATCTGCCACGCGCATCCTCCACCAAAGCTTTGCATCGTCCACCAAATACATAGTCGTAATGGTGACCTTGTCCTCATCTTGCACCTTGGCAGCATGGAAGTACTGCTCCATATCCCACAGGAAATTTTCGAGTTTCTTGGCACTCCGTGCGCCATTAAACTCTTTAGGCTCCGGAATTTTGACCCTCGAACGATCTGCCCCACGCTGTGCTTCATCATTGCCAACAGCACGACGCAACAACCCATTTTTCGTTTTCAGATCTGTGCACTCCTGGCTCAGCCTGTTTAACTCGCCCTCAAGATAGGCAAGACGAGTCATGATAGTCAGTAATTGATCCCCATCAACAGTTCCGACGAGTGCCTTTAATGCAGCAACCTTTTCCTTCAGTTCTGCGTTGCCACCAGCCATTCTTCACAAAATTCAGCCACTGAACGTTGTGTCTTCGCCCCGATCCAGCCACGCTCTGATACCAGTTGTCACAGGGGTGATTTATGTCACTCGAATTCCTGCCCGAGGTTCACCTCCGTGCGGCAGTCAAGCCCAGCCTTGACTTCAGCCTCTCCAACACTTAGTTTTATTTTAGGGACGTTTGAAACTTAGAATGAAAATAGGCAGCAAAACAGTAAAAGGCACATACGATATACAGGAATTTCTTCCCAACTCGTATTAATATGTGAATACAAGAACACAATAGCCAACCCTATGGCCAAGACAAAGAATTCCCTAATTCCCTGCCCAAAATGATTTTCCCACCCTTAGGAAATGACTTAGACGAATTTTGGCTAATACAATGCCTTAGACTAAGTTCTGCCCGTTTTTAGACAAACTAGGCACTTATTTATAGGCTATAATCAGTTGACAAGCCCCAACTGATGGGCAAACATGTTAGGACAATGTACAAAAACGTGGGCACATTTTTAGGCCATGATCAGCATGTCTTGGGAGAGGTTGCAACTGTCAACTCGCACGTCTAAGTGAAATGCGCCTTGCTTCCGTTCAAGGTGCGTTTGTCTAGCCCCGCATAGTCCGTCATGCCGAGCTGCCCGTCATGATGTTGCCCCAATTTTCAGGTTGTGTGCCAAGTCCATCATGAAAATACTTGTCACAACCCACACCTGCCGAGGATCATTGTCAAGGGGCTAACAAACCACCCCCACCAGAAGAATTCGTCGTCCTCGACGAAGTAGCTTCCGCATTTTTCAGCACCACCATAGGTCCTACATATGCTGTTGTTTGCTCCAGTTCTTCCTCGTTTGGCTCATCTTCACATTTTTCTTCAGCAAACAACGCTGAAAGCTTTTCAATTCTTGGACAGTCCCTCGCCATGTGTGGTCCNTCCACGAAGTTCCACAATCACAATATACTTTCACAAGGTGTTTACAATGCATAGAAGCCATCAAATAAGCATGGAAGGGATAACAATA